CCACCACGTCGTCAATGGTGATGGCGGTCTCGGCTGCAGGGGGTTAAGGGGGCGTGAGGCAGGGTTGTGGTGTGGTGTGGTGTGGCGCCACGACTGGTGCTGTGGTGTGGCGGGGGGTGATGGGTTGCGGGTGGTGGTGTGGGGCAGGCCAAGCGGTCCAGTGCGGGGAAGTGGGCAGCATGGCAGGCGAGAGGAGGGCGAGGGCAGGCGGGCGGGTAGGCGCCCACCCAGCCACACACCCGCCCACCTATGTTGGTTGCCAGCACAATCTTGCGCACGCCGGCGGGCGGCCGCACAAACACGCGGCGCTGCTCCGCGGGGGCCACCATGGAGTGCAGCGGCAGCAGCTGGTACCTGCGGCGGGCAGGCGGGGTGGAAAGAAGGGGGGGAGGGGCGGGTGAGGTGGGTTGCGGGGTGTGGTGAGGCGGCACATGTGGCGTGAGGGCGAGGAGACCTAGTGCTGCCCTGCTGATGCTGAGCCCCAGCTGCCGAGCCCCTGCATCAGAAAGGGTCCACATGTGCGCAGGCCCGCCCCCAGGCGCCCCACCTGCTGCTCCCAAAGGCGGGGCTGCTCTCCAGCTTCTCCTTGAGCCGCATGATCTCGTCCCAGCCGGGCAGGAACACAAGCACCGCGCCCAGCACCTGCGGCCCCGCCGCCGCGGCAGCAGCCGCCTCTGCATCCGTCTTCTTGAACACGCCCTCCTGCGGCGGCGGTGGCGGCACGAGGCGTCGGCGTCGGCGCTTGCACAGATCCGTGAGCAGCCCACGCCGCCATCATACAACCAACGAACACCTCACAAAAACCAAGGCTCCCATACCACACGCCATCAGACTGCTCCCCACACCGCACACCATCCAACACCTCCCCACACCACCCACCCACACACCCACACCCACACCCACCTGGCAGGCGTACATGAGAAGGAGGTGGATGAGGTCCACATCCACCTCATCCGCATTGGTCTGCGCCTGGTAGTGGCTCAGCGCCAGCGCCGCGTTGGCCAGCTCCTCGGCGGCTGCCGCCCCCTCCCCAAACTCATCCAGCACCTCCACCACCGCGCCGTGCCCGTACAGCGCAGCCAGGTCGCGCGCCGTCTGGGCACCGGCGCCGGGCAGCGCCACCGAGGGGTCGGCCTGCGGAAGGGAGGGGCGGGGGGGTGAGGGGTGGCAGCGCGAGGTCCCGGGCTGCGGTGTGCGGCACCCGCAAGCGCCGGCACTGCAAGGAGGAGCGCCTGCGCCAGGCCCAGCACACACCAGCACGCCACCGCCGCCACCCGCCCCACGCACCCCGTTTGACAGCAGGGCAGACACGACGTCGGCGCGGCCGTGCACCGCGGCCGCCATGAGCGCGGTGGCGCCCTTGGCTGCACGGTAGGCACACGGCAGGTTGTAAACATTCAGCGGGCATCGGTGGGAGGCGGGCGCTGACCTGTCAAGCAGGTGGCGGGCCAGCCAGCCAGCCAGCCAGCCACACAGCCCCAGCCACCCAGCCACCCAGCGCACCCACCCGTGTGCTTCACATTGACGCCGGGCGCCCCCTGCGACATGTCGTCCGCGCCAGCCGCCCCTGTCACCTCCAGCAGAGCCTCAAACGCCTCGTCTGCGGGGGCGGCAGCGCAGGCGCGAGCGGTGGGCACAACAGCCGCGCCAACAGCCGGCCCCTGGGCTTGCTCCCACAGCCAGCAGCAGCAGGCCGCCACACAAGCCGCACGCCATGCACGAGCGCCCGGCGGCAGCAGCGCGGGAGCTGCGCGGGCCCCCGGCGAGCCCGGCACCCGCCCGCCGGCCCACCTGTGCCTGTCGTGAAGGCCGCCTCGATCGCCTCCTCGATCCGCCGCCGCTCCTTGGCGGGCAGGCTGGCCGGCGGCGGCGCGGTGGCGCGGCTGGCGCCGGTGCCGCCCGTCAGGCCGCCCACCTGCCGTACCGCCGCCTCCTGGTATCCCGTCAGCGCCAGGATACTCTCCAGATAAAAGTCCTCCACTGGGTGTGTGAACCCAGGCACGCGCACCACCGGGCACCCCCCAAAGTAGCCAGAGAACAGGTCGATGTGCAGGGTGGCGGACATGAGCACCACGCGCAGGTGGGGGTGCGCGGGCAGCAGGTCGCGCACCTGCGGGCGGCGGCGGCGGGGGGCGGCGGGCAGGCAAGCAGGCTGCTGGGGCGACGGCAGCCACCCAATCGCACGCCCCCGCGAAACGCACACGCACGGCAGCGCACGCACGCGCACGCACAGCAACACACACACGCACACATGCCAACCCTACACATGCCAGCCGCCCACCCACCAGGATGAGCAGGAAGTCGGCGAAGCGGTCCCGCTCGTGGATCTCGTCCACCACCAGGTGAGTGACGGAGGCCAGGGGGTCCCGCGCGGGACCGCCGCCGCCGCCGCCGCCGCCACGCGCGCCCGCGGTCAGCATGCGCAGCAGGACGCCGTTGGTGCAGAACATGAGGGAGGAGGCGGGGCCGCCGCGCGACTCCAGGCGGATGGTGTAGCCCACGTTGTCGCCCACGCCCTCGCCGCGCTCCGCCGCCACGCGCTCAGCCACTGCAGGCGGGCGGGCGGGTGCGGGGCGGGGCGGGGTTGGGGCGGCGAGGAGGGTTCGGGCAGCGCAGGGAGGCAGGCAGGGTGGGTGGGAAGGGGGCTGGAGGGGAATGGTGGGGTGGGGTGGCGTGCAGGCAGGCAGGCAGGCAGGCCCCACGCCCCTCCCTCACCGCCCCGCACCCGATACGGCTGAGATGCGGCGGGGCTGGGTGCACACCACGCGGCAGCCCTTGCCGCGGTACCACGCATCCTCCAGGATGTACTGTGGTACCTGCAGTGGTGCAACACACCGTACCAGTACCAGTGGCACACAGGGTACCCAGCAGGGGTCGGTTCCGGCCCTTGCGGCATGAGGCATGCCGTGCTTAGGTGGCACACCTGTGCACCTCAAGCCCTCGGCTCGCCCTAGCCCCTCGGCTCACCCCCACCCCCCGCCGCCCACCTGCGTGGTCTTGCCGCACCCCGTCTCCCCCGCAATCAGCACCACCTGGCTGCTGTCCAGCGCCGACACAATCTGTTCGCGGAAGGAGGCGATGGGTAGCGCCTCACGCCCCGCGATCAGGCTCTGCAGGGCGGCAGCAGGGGCGGCGGCATGGGCGAAGCAGGCGAGGACAGGGAAGCTGGGGAGGAGGCGAGGGCAGCAGGACGGGGTGCTGGCTGCGGCACGGCAGCAGGCAGGGCCCGGGGCCCGCGCCGGCGCGCGCCTGCATCTGCGGCTGCTGGATGCGCTGCTCCCACAGCCCCCGCCGCCGCTCCACCTCCGCCTCACTAAACGCCGCGGCGTGCTGCTTGGCGCCGCCGCCGCCGCGCCCCTTCTTGCGCCCGCCTGCCTCCGCCTGCTGCTGCTGCTGCTGGCCGTCGGCGCCTGCCTGAGCACCAGCTGCCGCTGCTTCTACTGCGTCGCCCTCTGCCGCCGCCTCCTCCTCCGCCTCATCCTCGCTGCTGCTGCCGGCCTCCCCTGTGCCGTACGAATCCTGCAGATCCACGTCCCGCCCCTGCCCCGCAATGCCGGCCAGCTCCGCCTGCGAGGGCGGGTGCGCGTGGAAGTAGGCTTCCAGGGCCGCAAGCGACTGCGGCCCCAGCGGCAGCTCAAACGCCGGGTCGCCGCCGCGCCGCTGCTGCCGCTTGTACACGCACACGCAGCGCGACTCGTTCTTGCTGCATGAATGGCAGGGGGCAGGGGGGAGCTCAGTGAGGAAAGAACTGGGCTGGGCTCAGGCAATGGGTGAATGAACTGCTGCCTTGCGGGGGACGTGCAGGCAGCAGCGGCAGGTGAGGCGCAGGGACAGTGGTGCCCCCTGCTCTGCCCACCACCCGGCCGCCCCGCTGCTCTCACCCGTGCGATTTGCTGGTGAAGCCGTACTTCTTGCATTCGGCGTGCACCACCGCACGATCGTGGTTGGACAGGCCTGGCGGGAAGGCATACTCTGCGGAGCAAGCAGCAGGCCAAGCGGCGGCTGAGTGGGCGGCGGCGGCTAGCTGCCGCTGTGCCAGGCAGGGCAACAGGCACCGGTGCCGGCCTGCTGGCGCCCTGAGGCGCTCCCTGGCAACTCGCCTGTGGCGTCCGAGCGCTGGAACAGCTCCAGCTGCTCGGTAATAGACAGCCGGGTGTTCTCTGCAACTGGGCGCAGGCCTGGGCGCAGCCTGCCGCGGCCCCTGCCACCTCCCCTGCCATCCCCAGGTCCGCCTCTGCCAGACATCGCGCCTCAGACGCTTTGGCTACGGTGATGGGCACACGGAAGTGTGCTGGCTGCAGCTTTTAGCAACACAAATTGACCACTGAGCCCTCTGGATATTGGTAGCATGTGTCCGGGCGATGGGGGAAGAGATGTACTGCCAGGCGGGCGCACCGCCGCTGCCGCCGCCATGGACGCAGGCGGTGGCAAGCCCCTCCAGATGACAGGGAGAAGTTCTACTTCACTGCTCCAGAGTGAAAGCCTAGCTGATTAAACCTTCTGCACAGTTCTCCCTCCAGAACTGGGTTTAGAGGCCTGGATTCCATAGTGCAGTATGCTCAGAGCCATGCATGGGGCCCCTGCCGTGCGGACAGCCCCAGGAGGCGTGCCGAAACGCAAGGCCCTCCCGCTGCGAGCACGCCCGCCTCTCTCCAAGTGTTTACATATCTTCCCGCTCTCAAGGTGCCAAAACCAGGCATGGTCAACAGACAGAAGCGCCATGTGTGTATGCTTCAACCACATCTTATTAGGTGTTGCATCAAGCGCAGCTGCTCCAACCTGCGTATGTATCAGCGCTGCCTGCCTCATTCATTTCCCCGCCACACTTCCATTTCCTGTGCCACGTGCAAACGTGGGTGACCAGAGAGTTGCCGAAGCGCTGTGGCTGCCCGCCTGCCACCCAGGCAGGCGGATGTGCCTCACACCAGGCGCTGCAGGCGCAGCTCCCGGAACCCGCCCTCCTCCGCCAGCACCCGCTCGCCCATCTCGTTCACGTCCTCAGCAAAGGCGGAGCGGTACACTGCAGCAGTACAGCGGCGGCAGCGGTGGGTGCTGAAGATGACACACACACAATTGGTGGCACAGGGGCAGGCGGCCCAATGACGCTCCATCCGGCCGCATGCACATTCACACCCACCGTGGATCTCTGTGATTTTGGAGCGGTCGTGGTTAAACTTGAACATGTTGGTGCCTGCGGCCAGGAAGGACCATGTATGGGCACCGTCGCCAGCTCAGCATTAACCCCCAACACAACCACCCCGCAGAGCATCTGCCGGAAGCCAGCCAGCAGCCGCACCTTCAAAGCTGGATGCGTGGTGCGTGGGCTTGTGGTTGTGGTACTGCCCCAGGTTGGTGGCGGCTCCGCTGTAGGTAACCATGATGGCGTTTGTGTCCACCGTGGCGTACTGGTCCACCTGCGGGGTGCGCGGCAGGGGGCAGGGGCAGGGCCAGGTGCAGGAGCAGAAGAGGGTGGGGGTGTGGAGCACAACACACAACGCGCCGCTTCCCCGTGCATGCAGCCCCGTGACGGCAGCCGGCAGCCCCACCCACCTCCACCCAGAAGTCTGGGAAGGCGGTCTGCAGGTCTGCCAGGTAGTGCTTCATGCCGTCCACGCCCACCGTGGGGTGGGTGGGGTCCCACACCACATCCTTGTGCACCACCTCGTCGTCAAAGATGCGGTCGGCCAGCTCCGCCCGCTTGTTGGTCAGGTACTCGATGAGGTACGTGTGTGCCAGCTCCACCATCTGCTTCACGCGCCTGCACACGCGGCGGCGGCAGCAGCGGAGCAAGGGTGGCAGGCCGGCGGCAGCGGCGGCGGCAGCATGCGGGCGGCCAGGCGCGCGGCGGCTGGACAGCGGTGCAGCGCACCAGTCTTGGATCGCGGAGGCCTCCTTGGTGTTGTGCGGGTCGAACCGAAAGGCCACAACCCGCAGGGCCGCCGATCGTGACGCCGATCGTGTTGCGGCGCTGCGGAAGACCACTCGTGGCGTGAAGCTAGAGGATCCCCTGAGGGAGGCGTGGCAAGCTTGCTGCACCCTGCAAGGCCCGGCAGTGACGGAACTGCAAAGGGTTCCGGCGCTCGTCATCGGGCTGCGGCTGCGTGTCGTTCTCTGTGGATATGAGGTCCAAGGGGTGTCAGGTTTCCCCTTCAAGGGGCGAGGGTGGGTGGGGTTGAGGGTGATGGCGGCCAGGTGGCGGCCAGATGGGCGGAGGCGTCATCCATCCTCCTATCCTAGACAGCATGCCTGAGCAATTGCTTGATTTACATACGGCATTTAATGACGGCCACTCTATGCAGCTCATGACAAGGTGCGGTGCAAGAGGAATGTGCTCAAGGGGATAGTGCAGCAACAACGGTCTGGATTGCAAATATGCAAGCATGGTTGGTTGCGGCGGTAATGACATCAGTAATAATACTGGGCCCTGAAAGGGGCGGTGCACATCAACAAGGGGGCAGGGGGCAGTGCCTACTGGCCACACGTCGAAAAACGTGGCCCGCTCAGAAAACTCGCTGCGGGCGGTGGCGGCAACCCACAGCCGCGTGAACTCAATGCGAATCCCTGAAATCAAAAAACACAGCGGGGTGTGGTGCAGCGCTGGCCGCCGCTGTCCTCGCCGTTGCCTCACGGCATCTGGCCCCGCTGCACAGCCTGCGCCTCGCCCACACGGGCCGCCGCCTGCGCCAGCTTCTTGCGCTCCTCGTGGCCCTGAGCGCCCAGCCAGTTCGAGCGGTACACTGCAGGGGAGGTGGCGGCACAGGTGTGGCGGGGCTGGGCACTGCCGCCAAGCAAGCCGTCACAAAGGGCCTTGCCCCTGCGCTGCCTCTCCAACCAAACCGCTCCCTGCCCCCTGCTGGCATTGCTTCTGCCCACCCGTGCACGGCGGCAGCCCAGCTGGCCTCACCCTGCACCTCCCGGATCTTGGAGGCGTCAGAGTTGAACAGGAAGACGTCCACGCCCTGCAGGCAGGCAGCGGCGGCGGGGGCAACGGCGCTCAGAGAGCGGCGGCTTCTCTGCTGCCCACGCAGCGCACGCTGGCGTGCAGGCAGTGCCACAGAGGGACCAGCGCACTGGCTGCCTGCCGTGGCTGACTGACTGACTGAGGTTGCAGAGAACCGGGCCCGTTTGGGCTGGGGGCACACCAGCCGTGCCTCACCACAAACTTGGGGGTCTTGGCAGAGACCTGGCCCTCAAAGGACACAAACATGCTGCGGTTGTCCACGATGCCAAACTGCAGGCGGGGGAGGGGAAGGGCGGGGGGCGACAGTCTCGTGTCGAGCCGCGACGTGTGCGCACCGAGGCAGCGCCGACTGCCGACCTCCCGCCACCACCCCTTCTGCCGCTGCTCAGTGTGCCGCGCCACAGGCACGAGCAGTTGAGTGCACGAACCTCTTCGCCTGTCCCCAGCCACACATGCAGACAAGCTGCACAACACACCACGCAACACACCACGCCCGCACCTGGGTCGGCTTGACGTAGTAGTCGGGATAGGTCTTGTGCAGCTCTGTGAGGTACGAGGTGTATTCCTTGAGGCCCACACGCCCAATGTTGCGCACCTGCAGTGGGCAGGGGGCAATGTGAGTGGCTGGGGAATGGTGCCCAAGGCTGCTCGCTGGGAAGACGGGCAAGGCCTGGGCGGCGGCAGGGGGCGCACCATGTCCTTGTGGCTGATGCTCTGCTCCAGGATCTCGGTCAGCACGCCCAGGTCGCCTTGCGTCAGCAGCGTGTCGAAGTAGGTGTGCACCAGGTTGACCATCTGCTTGGGTAGGCAGGGGGCGGCGCAGAGGGCTGGCGCCGTGGGCGGCGGCGGCGGGCGTGTAGCGGCGGCACACCCTTGGCGCCGGCAGGCTCCGACACCCCGCCCGCCTCACCTTGATGACGTGCTGCTGCTGGGGGGCGCCGATGAAGGGCGAGCTCGAGGTGGCAGCGCCGTTGGTCTGGGCTGCCACCGCCACGGCGCAGCGAGTCCCCCGAGGCTGCTGTGGCCGCACCGCCGCTGCAACATGCCGTCTCTGCTTCTGCACCGAAAGGTGGAGTGGCTGGCGGAGGCACAGGGCCGCCTGCGCTACACAGCTCGCCGACTTCGACATGATCTGGAGTCGAGGAGCTCCACAAGCACTGCAAGGGGACTGGAGAGGAGTGAGGTACTCGCAAACACGTGCCGGGGGCTATCCATGGTGCCAGCAGGGCAGCATGGTAGTGCGTGTGTGGACTGTGGGCCTCAGATTGGCGATGTGGACCTTAGGAATCAATGTGGGAACTCATAGGACAATCGAGCGGGTCTCAGGCGGCCGATCGGGCAAGTGGTAGGCTCCCCTCCACCCCCGCCCCGCCCGCTGCTGTCGCCGCCCCACTGCCAGTCGCCCCACTGGCTCGTGATCAATTTACACACAAGCTCCAGGCGCTAAATTGATGTCAAGCCAGCCAGCTGTGTGACGAGATCAGACGGCGAGCGTCACAGGCGCTACTAGGCGGAGGTGCTAAGTGCGGGCAATGGGGGTAGGGGCAACCGATGAAATGCAAGGGGGGGCATGTACTCTCAACCAAGGTCTTCAAAGTGCGCAAGCTCTAGGTCCATTCACAGCGGCACTGGTGTCTGTATCAAAATCGGCGGCTGCCTGCAGAGGCAGCCTGCCAGGCCAAAACTCGGTACTGGTTTGCCACGCCTGGTGCCAGCCCGCCGTCCTGTCAGGTTGGGAGGATGGGGCTGTGCCCAGCACACGCGTCATCAAAACTGCACAACTGCAGCATCGAATTCGCTCCACGCACGCAGCCGGCGCGTCAGGTGACCATCCGCGGCGGCTCGCCCTGCTGGCGCTGGCTCTGCTTCTTGCGCTCCTCGTGGCCCTGGGCGCCCAGCCAGTTCGAGCGGTACACTGCAGGTGGGATGGCAGGGGGAGCAGGCGGCGCCCTCAGGGTGCGATTCCGGTACAGCCACCCTGGCAGTCACATAATCTGGAGCCCCCTAGCCAGCTCGCAAGAGGACCTGCAAGGCAGCCAGCTCAGCAAGGCAACCGAGCGCCGGCGCTCCTCCCGGGGGAGCCCACCCTCTATCTCCGTGATCTTGGTGGCACTGTCGTTGAAGTAGAAGAGGTCCACGCCCTTGAACAGCGGCGTGTGGCCCGTGGCCCTGCCCTCAAACGCCACAAACAGCGTGCGGTTGTCCACCACGCCAAACTGGGTGGGGCGCACCTGCAACAGGCGATGGGGCGCAGCGGCGAGTGTTAAGCGCGGGGCACGCATGCGCAGGGCCGCGATCTGCTGCGCCTCGCCGCTGCAGCAGGCGGGGCGACGTGCCGTGCACTGTTCCCCTCCAGTCTGTTGCCGCAGCGCTGCCAGCGGCTGCATGGCATGCTGGCGTCCCTCCTGCAGGCCCGCCTGCCCACCCAGATTGCGGGGTACGCCCTCTTCAGGTCCTTGATGTACTCCTTGTACTCCTGCAGGCGAGGTGGGGGGCGGGGGGGCTGGTGTGCGGGGTGGTGGTGCTGGTGGGGTGGCGGCGGCGGGGGCGGCGTGGGGCGGGGGGGGAAAGCAGGTTGA